TTTTTTTTTTTTTTTTTTTTTTTTTATCGAGTCGTTGATGAATAAAATTAATCGTTTCTTTTCTCTCTCTCTCTCTCTCTCTCTCTCTTCTGATAGTTTGCAGGATTTGAAATTTGGACTTTGAGTGCAAATGATCAAATTCTCTTGCTAAACTAAAACTCGCGATTTCCCCTGTGTCCAATGCGTCCCCTGAAAGCAGATAACCCGTCGTTATTCAGCGAATGTTTAGAGCAGGTTTTACTTGATCGCTTAAAAAAAAAAAAATACATATTCTTGGGAAAATCCAATATATTAATTATTAATTCATTTTAGCTATCTAATTTTTCAATTCAATTTTTACCTTTTTTTTTATATTCGATGAGAATTGAAATGAGTTTAAATTTTTGTCCAAGATAATTCAATTTCACTCGATCTACGTGAATCCAAATACGTGTTTGCCCTGCTATTCTAACAGTCGCGCGATAATTATAATGAAAATAATAACATCCAATTTCAATGGTCCAATTGGATGATCCAAAAACTTGCTAGATATCTCTAATAATATGGCGCAACTTGGACACGATTAGTATTGGCACGAGCGAGATGAGAATCACCCACGATTCTCTCGAAACTCTTTATTCCGCTTTGGATCACGAATGTCAGTGTTACAATAACGTCTGAGCTTGGAGATTTGAAAAGTTTTGCTGGTCACCTCTCGACGAGGAAGCTTTCAGAGCGCAATTAGCAGCAAGGGTTCTTTGATACGACCGGAAGTTCGATTTGCACGTAGAATGAAGTCAGTGTTATGCAACAGCCGTCTGCTGACGCAACGATAGAAAAAAAGAATGCACGATGAATTTCTTATCAGCTGTTTTGCATCGTTGGCTTAGGTCGTTATCGTTGCGCATTAATTACAATTGTATCACCTGTGATCTTGCGAATCTGCCTCCTTTTCCTCGTCAGTTTACGTCTAACATGATCGTGTGCGATTTTTCTAGTCGTATGGCGAAACACGACGCGTACTAATAATAAAGTTTTGCCAATTTTGCAACGCAGCTATTTCGGTGTTCGTTCAGCTTATAGATACTATATATAATGTGTCTTCAATAGGGAAATAT